TAAACTTTCGCTCCTAAATAAGAAAGCTGACACACATAAAGAAATTGCTTTAATATATATATATTTCAGACATTAATAACTTAAAAGCAATAGAATAACCCAGAATAAAGTTCGGATAGCGTAAATTCTGTTATATAGTGTTGATCTGGTAAATCAATTTCATATCTTCATATGAGCAAACATCCAAACCCATCTCCAAAATTGTCAAAAAAAAAAAAAAAACAAAGAAAGGTTCAAATCCGTCCTGGTAAAACAAGGCCTTAGAATCGAAAGTCAAGGACGCATCATAGGTTTACCAGTATGATTTCTACTTCCATAATTGCAAGTATCTTTAGCACCTGAAACTACAGGATTAATATTTTGATAAGAGATAATGCAAGTAGAGAAACTCAATTTTAGGTTTATGCCCAAACTGACTAGCCCGCTGGTGCTTTCACTATTAGTTCATTATGGGTTAGGCTTCCGACCTTCTACAGGATTTACTGTAAGTTGATCGGTAAGGATGCAACTTCAGTGAAGAATATATATGGTTATTTAGGGCATTTTATAGTGAAAAGTTACTCTCTGTTACCATGCATGCCATTCAAGCCGCTTCAAGCTTCCTCTCTACTGCCTCATGCTCAGCCTGAATACGAAATGGAACACCATGCTCCTGATACATATTGTTTTGTGCCAGGTCTAATCAATGTCAGCTGCAGTGGTTGCAAAAAAATGATTGGCTGGAATCCATCTGGTTGTATTGGGGTCTACATCAGGAGGTATGGAATCCGCGTCCTTAAGGAACACAGTTGGTCCCTTCCACTGGTATGCTCTAGATCTCCTTTTCTGATGGAAAGCTTGCTGCTGTTGAGTAAGAGTAACTGGAGCTATGCGATACACTTTTCCACACATCTCTACGGTTGAATTTCCCTTACCGACCTTGACCAATGGATTATTAAACGGGAACTCATCTTTGAGAGGATTTTAGCTGTGAGAAAAAGCATCATTTGAAAGGATAAATCAGAATTTATATAACAGGTCATGGGACCAAATTATGACAAAATGGCTAGCAAGCAGAAAACCTGAAACATGATAGTAATATCAGCACATGTGAACGAAATTATCAAAATAATAAAATTTAAAATTGGGCAGAGTAATACCACCTACCAATGCGGATATGATAATTACCTAATGAGATGAAAAATCTTAACAAATCAGACGTGACATACAGAACACCTGAAACCTGATTCCAGCATCAGATCATGCGAACAAAATGATCAAATGATAAAGTTAAAATCGAGTAGAGTAATATAAAGGACAAATGCTTAACACGCAATGAAGAACAACAGACAAAAATAAAACATCAAGAAAGAAAAAAAGGAAAAAAAATTCCAATAATCTAAACTACGACAAGAATTCTACTAATTTGGTAAAATTAGTTTCGATGAACGGCCTCCCAACCGCCCAGAGATCTATTTATCAACAAAAGATCCCTAGTCAAGCACAAAATTTGCAGGATATTCAAAGGATCAGTCCCCTTATTAAGAGCCAACGTGGTTGCCATGAACTCCACTGGAACTGGACCACGCTAAATGAATTATTTCCCAAGATGAAGATCCACCAAAATGGAAGTTCAAGCCATAAACCTCCGTTCCAACACTACACAAATTGCAGATACAAATACGGGGACGACAACCCTATAAAATAAAACTCGGTAAGAGTAAAAACTCCATTCCCTGATAATGTACACGGAGTAAAATCACACTCAGAAGCCACGCAGCCGCACTCGTCACCTGCACAACCAGCAACGGGAAGAAACCTCATTTGTTCCTTTCAGCAACACGTCTCTAGTAAACAACAACAAAGCAGGTCCGATTGCCTCTTTTACTATTTTCCAAGAAGGATAAGTTCCACTATTAAATTAAATAAAGTAGGGTCCAAAAACCTTCAATCTGTAGCTCTACACTTAGGAAGGCTTCACCCTCGCTCCAATTTGCTGCACCAAGGAAAGGCTGGCAAAATGAGCATACCCTGTTATCTGTAGCTTTTTAACCGTCTCGCATGTTCTAAACGTTAATTTTGTACATCTACAAATGTTTCTTAAACAAAGTAAAATCGAGAGAAATATTTTCAAGACAATCCAGGGTAACATAATACTCACATTCCGCGTAGCACACGTTGTTCGTGTAGATAGCCACTGGAACAAACTCCGTTCTTTCCGCTTAAGCAAGTTTCCCACAAAGTACCTACAGCAAAGAAAAGTCAGCAACATAATATTGACGCGGTTACGCCAGGCTCCGTAGTTGCCTTGCATGTTAAACGTACCAATCTCTTTTAACCACAGATATTGCTTTAAAAAAAAAAAAAAGAAAACAGAGAAAAGATCCCACAAGGTCTGAAGTTTGGTTAGACTACTACACTTTGGGTCCGATAGACTTCGAAGGTTTGGTTCTCTCAAATAGTTTTCTCGGTCAATTTTTTGAAGACCTACATTAGAACAATGATTAGAACCAAGACAAATTCAGCATACATGCATGCTTTTTTTGAGCTCCAACTGGCCGAGCGAGGATGAATTTTACTTTTTCCCGAGAAATTTAAAAAACCGTTGCCTAGGAGTCAAAGTACATTTATTTTGAAACAATAAACCAAAGCACTCTCATTTGCGAGTCAATGAATTCGCCCACTTTTACTGAAGTTCATTAAATTGGCTCCCAAATCAAGAACGAAGGCCTTTCTCAAATAAAATGAATATCTCCTTTAACCGAGCAATCATGTCTTACGCCCGTAGCAATAAAATGATTGAGAAAGCACACTGCCAGTTACGTAGAGAAAGGCTGCCAACTCTCCAAGAGAAAGGGTGTTTGTTATCAGAGTTACTTTTCCTTTAAACCAACGTATTCTCAAAAACACTTACTTTGAATCAAGAGTCCAAACCACAACTTTTAGAGTTCCGAAAACCCAGGGCATCAAAAAAGTTTTGCTTTGCTGCAGCAAATCCAAAGTCATTTTCTTTTGCACCAAGGCACACTTATCTTTCAAAATAATCGATAGAACACGCCTTCAGTTTCTAAAAAAATTACTTGACCTCCACTTACTTTTCCAACTGCTACAATTTCCCTGTGGGGACACCTGCAGATTTATTTCGAAAGCAAAAGATCAAGAGAAACTTTAATTAAACCAACATAGCAAAGAATAGTTACTTCCAACTAAAAGATCAAGGGACATTTTGCTAGAGAAAGAATTATCCAAGGGACATTTTGCAAAATCTCACATTGCCCCAAAAAATTGAGGAACATTTGCTCAGGGGACCAACAAAAAAAATCGTTTTCAAAAAATAAATGGACAGGCTAGCTTTCGAAAAGATTAATCGAGGCCTTTTACTTTTTGAATACGGGACTCCGAATGATATATTTTCGCAGCAACAGACCATGGGTTTCAAAACCTTCAAAACACATCTCGTATGCCTTACGTAAACTAAATATTGAAAGCAAGTTACCGTGTCAGAAGTGGTGCTGTCACAATATCCTCGAATCTTTGTCAATGCAAGTTTTTCTAAAACTTGGAACTGCGAGAGGGACCCAAGCAGATTTACATTGCCCCAAGAAATCAAAATTCATTTTCTTGTGCATCAAGTCACGCATTTATTTATCCATAAATAATGCATAAAAACAGCTTTTAGGTTTTAAAGTATAAATTGAGTCTCATTTACTTCCCAAACCAGGAAACTTCCAAAACAGGAAACTATTCTTTTGTATATATATTTTTTTTAAAAAACTATTCTTTAACAAAAGCCAAAAAGCTTTAAAACCACGTGCCGAAAAAATATTTACTTGCAATCAAAAGATCCAAACATATTGCTTTCTATGTTCCAACCAACCAAGAGAACAGAGCAATTTTACTCTTCCCCAAAAAACAGAGAAACTTCTGCTTGAATACCGAGGGGCACACTTATTTTAAAAGAATCAGTAAATACAGTGTCGGTTTCAAAATATCGAATCGGGGCACCTCTACAGAGGAAAAACGCTGCAACTAGATTATCGATGTGGCTTCAAAATAAAGAACGGCAACCTCTTCCACGTATAATGACGATTCCCATAACCTAGCACGAAACTTTTTCTGTCCGCGCTAAAAATAGATTGGGAGAGCATATTGCCACCACTAAGTGAAACGTCGCCTAACTCTCCAAAAGAAAGTGCGTGATCAAAGAAACTCTCACTTTCAAACCGACGCACCCAAACTTTGGCTTGAGATTTTAAGCCACATCTTTTTGAGGCTGTACATCTTGAGGGTTGCAAGCAGTTTCATTTTGCCACAAAAAATCAAGATTCACGTTCTCATGCACCGAGGCACATAAGTTTGTTTTGAAATATCGACAAAAACTTCCACTTTCAAAATGAAATATTGCCTTTCCTAGGACTAAAGGGTAGTTAATATGGAATTGAACCTCTTACATTTTGGACCCAGAATCTCAAATAAAACATTCATTGTGAATGCAAGGGCTGCACAAATAATGTTTTCTACTCAAAGAGACCCGGCCAATTTTGATCCTTCACCAACTATATTTCATAAATGAAGCTTCAAAACACACAGCAACAACCTTTAACGTTCAAAATGAAATATTGCCTGTCCTAGATTTTTGTGGCCTGAAAGTAAGTTAATATGGAATTGAAGCTCTTACATTTTGGACCGAGAATCTCAAATAGAGCATTCATTTCGAATGCACGGGCTGCAGAAATAATGTTTTCTACTCAAGAGACCCGGCCAATAATGATCCTTCACCAACTATATTTCATAAATGAAGCTTCAAAACACACATCAGCAACCTTTAACTTTCAAAATGAAATATTGGCTTTCCTGGTATTTTGGGACTGAAAAGGTAGTTACTATGGAATTGAAGCTCTTACATTTTGGACCGAGAATCTCAAATAAAACATTCATTGTGAATGCAGGGGCTGCACAAATACTGTTTTCTACTCAAGAGACCCGGCCAACAGTGATCCTTCACCGGCTATATTTCATGTATGAAGCTTCAAAACACACATCAACACCCTTTAACTTTCAAAATGAAATATTGGCTTCCCTAGTATTTTGGGACTGAAATGTAGTTAATATGGAATTGAAGCTCTTACATTTTGGACCGAGAATCTCAGATAAAACATTCATCGTGCATGCAAGGGCTGCAGAAATAATGTTTTCTACTCAAGAGACCCGGCCCACAATGATCCTTCACCAACTATATTTCATGAATGAAGCTTCAAAACACATACCAACAACATTTCTCCAATAAACTACATCTGAAAGTTCCAAAAACCGAGCATACATATCTTTTGTAAATGGTTATCAAATACTAGAAAATCCAATTGCAACGTCTAAGAGAGAAAGGGTGCCCATCACGATAGCTTTCACTGCAGAAGCGACACACATAAAACATATTTACTAGGAATCAAAATGCTCAAGACACATTTTCTCACAGTTGGTGCTACCCGGGGGGGGGGGGGGACCACGAATGGGAAATTTTCTTGTTCATCAAGCTCATTTATTTTTTAAAAGATTTACAAAACATGCTTTCAGTTTCTGAGCAATAATTCAGGACCGGAACACCATAAAAAATTATTTTCTACCAAAGGAAGCAAGAACCTTAAAACAATGCCCAAAAATATTTACTTGCTGCTAGCAGATCCAAGCACATTCTTTTTAAGTTCCAACTACCCGAAGGACATGGGGAATTCTACTTTCTCCGAAGAAATCGTAAAATTTTCCCTTAAACACGGACGCAAATTTATTTTGAAACAATAAATCAATTTACTCTCACTTTCAATAAAATAAAGTAGGGCACTTTTACCGGGACACAAAATCAATCTAATGTGGCTTCGAAATAAAGAACGACGACCTTTCTCGCATCAGATAAAAATCCCCAGAACACAGCATCCTCGTTTCGTCCCTGCTAAATGCAGATTGGGTAAGTACGAGGCAAGCATCTCATGCATCCTAGAAACCTTTCTCTTGACTACAACAAATGTCAAAAATAATGACCTCCAGCTTTAAGAGAAGACTAAAAGAAGTGGGGCCCGGGGGGCAAGGAAGCTGAGGACTTCCATTCTGAGATATTAAAGACGATTAAAAGGGAGCGGAGCGGAAGAGAATTACCTGAAAACCAACATAAGAACTTGTTGGTAAAGCAAACGCGCAGCATCAATTTCTAAAAAGTTGCCATATTTCCCGATCTGGCCTGCCGCCTCTGACAAATTATTGCTCAAATACAACCATAAAGCGTGAGAGAAATATTATTTGAATCTAGCAGACTTGTAGAAATTTTTGTAATGCGCAGCAGTACCCCTTTGGTACCAACATTAAAAAAATACGTAACTTTTACTTCCAAAGAGAAATATTTGAATCCAGCACCAAGTGATACGAGTGTAAATAGAGATGTCGCGTACCTCTCGAACCAGCAATCCACACCCTTACCGAGCGAGCGTTATAATATTGTCAGAATATGGTCCCTGTAAATCAAAAAACAAGAAAAGGGATCAAGACATACTGATACAACTCCCGCGAACATCAAACAAAAAATAAACTGGTAACAAAAGTCGAAAGGAACAACACTATTAGTTTCCAACGTGGGAACTATGTTTCTTTATGCACTTTGGATGGAATGACTTTGCAGGGACTATGGACCAGACGGAATCAAGATTTTGGGAACACGGTTCCCACATAATAGACACCCTTGTACGAGGCAAGCATCTCATGCATCCTTTAAACCTTTCTCTCAACCACAACAAAACTGCTGGACAGGCCAAAAATAATGACCTTCAGCTTTAAGATGAGACTCAAAGATGCGGGGGACAAGGAAGCTGAGGACTTCCATTCCGAGATCTTAAAGACAGCCCCTCTCACGGTGGAAGAGCAGATAATGACCATTTATACCGGAACGAATGGTTATCTTGATTCATTAGAAATTGGACAGGTAAGGAAATTTCTCGTTGAGTTACGTACTTACTTAAAAACAAATAAACCTCAGTTCCAAGAAATCATATCCTCTACCAAGACATTCACTGAGGAAGCAGAAACCATTTTGAAAGAAGCTATTCAGGAACAAATGGAACGTTTTCTACTTCAAGAATAATTCTAAATAAAAAATAAATAAATAAATAAAAGAAACGAAATTGATCATTCTTTAATTTAATTTAAATTCATTTCATTTTTTACTTGAATTTAATATTTAATATAATAATTAATAATTATTCATAATATAAGTTTCTAAGTATAGAAAATAAGTATATACTATATATAACATAAGCAAATATAACATAAGAATAAAAGGGAGTGAAACAAAAGAGAATTACCTGAAAACCAACATAAGAACGTGTTGGCAACTAAAAGGCGCAGCATCAATTTCTAAAAACTTGCCATATTTTCAGATCTGGCCTGGCTGCCTCTAACAAATGATTGCTCAAATACAAGCAAAAAGCGCCGAGAGGAACAAAGCACGTCACATTATTTTAATCCAGCGGACTTGTAAAAATTTTGTAAGTGCGCAGTGCCCCCTCGGTACCAATATTAATACACATACGTAACTTTTTAATACAGAAGAAAAACATTTGAATCCAGCACCAAGTGATACGAGTGTAAATAGATATTGCAAACCTCTTGAACCAGCAATCCATACCCTTACCGAGCGACGATTACAATATTTTCAGAATATGGTCCCGGTAAATCAAAGAACAAGAAAAGGGATCAAGACATATTGATACAACTCCCATGAAAGTCGCGCAATAAATTAACAATAACTGGTAATAAACATAAAATACCGAGCACTGTTATCAGTTTCCAGCGTGGGAACTAGGTTTCTTTATGCACTTTGGATGGAACCGGACAGAATCAAGATTATGGGAACACGGTTCCCACATGGTACACACCCCCTCCTTGTACGAGGCAAGCATCTCAAGCATATCCTGGAAACCTTTCTCTTGACTGCAACATAACTGTTGGACGGGCCAAAAATAATGACCTTCAGGTTTAAGAGGAGACTAAGAGATAGGAAGCTGGGGACTTCCATTCTGAGATCTTAAAGAAGATTGAAAGGGAGCGAAACAAAAGAGAATTACCTGAAAACCAGCATAAGATCTTGTTGGTTAAAGATGATTAAACGCGCAGCACCAATTTCTAAAAACTTGCCATATTTCCAGATCTGGCTTGCTGCCTCTGACAAATTATTGCTCAAATACAACCAAAAAGCGTGAGAGAAACAAGAACGATACATTATTTGAATCTAGCAGACTCGTAAAAATTTTGTAAATGCGCACAGGCACCGATATTAATACACGTACGTAAGTTTCTTTTTTCGAAAGAAAATATTTGAATCCAGCACCAAGATGTATTGAGTGTGATTTTTTATTTTAAATTTTGAATTTAACTATTATCAAAAACATTTTTCTTCTTTGCTCGTCTAACTACAAAAATATTTTTCAAATACAAACTTTTTTTTTTTATAAATGCCGAAACCAAATTAATAATTAATAATTCGTTTTATTTTTTTATCTCAACTAATAAAAGCAAATCACCAAAACCAGTTGGAAATTACTCAACAGCTCGTGCAACATTTGGATCCATTGCTTTATAAGAGCCCAACAGAGCAATCCTGAGACAATTATACAGCAGGATGAGGGTAATTTAGCATTTTCGGCCGGATCAGGAGACGGCAGAGGCGGAAGGAGGAAAGAGAGTCTCAGCGCTTTTATAGAGGAGCTGAGGTGCGTCTCCGTGACGCAACCTTTAAATCGCCACAAGAGAGAAGACTCAGAAGTAGAAGAGCCCCTTTTTCTGCACTCTTCCGTTCAGAGAGAATGAAGACCGCCTCAATCTCTAGAAGATCGGAGCGGGACCAGATCCGATGGGCAATCAAAAAGAAAACCTTACCGGATCAGGATACGGCAGAGGCGGAAGGAGGAAAGAGAGTCTCAGCGCTTTTATAGAGGAGCTGAGCTGCGTCTCCGTGACGCAACCTCTAAATCGCCGCAAGAGAGAGGACTCGGAAGTAGAAGAGCCCCATTTTCTGCACTCTTCCCTTCAGAGAGAACGAAGACCGCCTCCAATCTCTAGAAGATCGGAGCGGGACCAGATCTAATGGGCAATCGAAAGAAAACCTTACCGGATCAGGAGACAGAAGAGGCGGAAGGAGGAAAGAGAGTCTCAGCGCTTTTATAGAGGAGCTGAGCTGCCTCTCCGCGACGCAACCTCTAAATCGCCGCGAAAGAGAAGACTCAGAAGTAGAAGAGCCCTATTTTCTGCACTCTTCTGTTCAGAGAGAATGAAGACCGCCTCCAATCTCTAGAAGATCGGAGCGGGACCAGATCTAATGGGCAATCCAAAACAAAACCTTACCGGATCAGGAGACGGCAGAGGCGGAAGGAGGGAAGAGAGTCTCAGCGCTTTTATAGAGGAGCTGAGCTGCGTCTCCGTGACGCAACCTCTAAATCGCCACAAGAGAGAAGACTCGGAAGCAGAAGAGCCCTATTTTATGCACTCTTCCGTTCAGAGAGAATGAAGACCGCCTCCAATCTCTAGAAGATCGGAGCGGGACCAGATCTAATGGGCAATCAGAAGAAAACCTTACCGGATCAGGAGACAGCAGATGCGTAAGGAGGAAAGAGAGTCTCAGCCCTTTTATAGAGGAGCTGAGGTGCGTCTCCGTGACGCAACCTCTGTGCTTTATAAACACGCGGAACCTCAGGGGCAGAAAAAAGGAAACCCAGAGACCGAAGATGAGGAGCGGCAGAGAGAGAAAATTAAAAAGATAAATATTTTTTTTACTGCCTTACTGAGTTTTCCATTAAAAATAATTTTATAAATAATTGTGAAAATATGTTATTATTTATACAATAATAATAACATTTATTCTTAATAAAAATTCATGTAACTTTTGTAATTTTTTATTTTAAATTTATAAAAAAATAAATTTTCAATTTAACTATTATCAAAAACATTTTATATTTTACTCACCCAACTACAAAAATATTTTTTTTAAATACAAATATTATAATAAAAAACCACAACAAAACAAACACCCTTAATTACAATACAATTTTTAATAATTCTTTTTTCTAAAAAATTTATTAAATAATACGCGTATTATTAAAAAAAATTTATATGTACAAATATATTCTATTAAAATTCTTTAAACTGTTATCTAATTTTAAATTATTTATTCTCTTAATCCTTAGAAATAATACTTACAGATTTTTTGCACCACCAAATTTCCTTTCAATTTCTATTCCTTCTCTGGCAAATCCACACAGACAAGTTGTCTGCTCCACCATGCATC